CCCCCCCCAAAAAAAGCACTGCATGGGAATGCATTTGTCAGTTTGTGATGTTTCAGTGTGGCTCTCACATTCTTTCTTAATAGGCTTCCCTGCTGGCATGTCTTTTGTAAAGAGAGCCCTTCATCTGCATCTATGTATTCACCAAATGAGAACTATCCCTTGGCAAGCATGGAAGAAACCATCCAGGAAAAGGTAATGAAGGTAGATGCATCATTCTGTTTAGGGTAAATGGGCTGATTATCTTGGAGAGCTGCGTGCAGTTGTAATACCGTCAACACAACATTTTTTATGAAGTCCATTTTGTATAAAATTCTATACAGAGGCTGAGGTAACTTCAGAATTTAAACAGAAATATGTTTCCCCAGTGACTCTTTTCTGTACTTTGGTAGTCATGGAAGCAGAGTTTATTAAAATGGTTAACGTGTTTTCTAAAACAATTCCATAAACTTCTCAAGTGTGTGTGTGTGTGTGTGCATGAAGTGCCATCAAGTCTTACGCTGACCCTGTAACCCAAGGTTATAGACTTAGTCATGATTGGGAACCTTTTCTTGCCTCCCTCTAATTCTGGTTGTGCCACTGAGTGAGGGGTTCTTTAGGAGATCTTTTGGAAGATGTGAAGGCTTGTTTTGCTCCTCTTGTCTGCTTTGAGCGACATTTCCTGTAATGGGGTAACGATGCCTTTGACTTGAGTGTTCATAGGTGTGTTGTTTTTTTCCGTTTTATAGAACCTGCTGAATGAGAGGTTGAGGTTTTTGGATGTCTTTATAGATTGAAATAACATTCTTGTTGCACCTTTAAAAAGATGAATTTATTGTGGCTTAAGTTTTTTTGTGAGCTAGAGCTGCTTCATTGTATGCACAAAATATAATTTCAGCAGGTACCATCACAGTGCCCATTGACATCAGCCATCCCATTAGGGGCTCATTCATTTGCACGTCCTCCAGCATATGTACTATCTCTTCCGCCATTTACACTAGCCAGTCTAGGCAACTTTTACATAAGAAAGTGAAAAGTCACGTATCAGTCATTAAAAGCAGAAATGTTTAGAAACCAGAGAGGGAGAATTTCACCTTCCCTGAACATTTAGTAACTGGATTAATGGTTGCAGTACTTTGCTCACAGAAGCTTGTGCTACAATAAATTGCCATTAGGCTACGACAGACTCATGTGGCTACTCTTCTGGGATTTCTGTGGATTTTCTTACCCTTTTCCTCAGTTGTTGTGAGATGGCTACCTCGTAATATAAGAAGGCTTAGGGTTAGTATTAAACACTTGTGTTGACTACCAGCTGTTCCATTTGGCTGCAATAAAGTTTCAGTGATATTTTGCAAATTGATATAGGCCCTGTTAGAAATGTGAAGGCCCGGAAAAATACCGGGAAAATTTGGAAAAAAAACGTTTTTTTCCCCGTTTTTTTCCTGAAGCCTTTTTGTTTTTTCCCCGAAAAATTGAAAAAAAAGAAAAGAAAAGAAAAAAATTGATTATGGAACATTTTATTTTAACATGATGAATAAAATATTTTAAGACCAGGTGTTCAAATATTTTCCAAATCATTTCTAAAATATATATATATGGTATCAGATTGATGTAATTTCTGTGCACTGAGGACAAGCAAGTCCTAGGTTACAAACTGAACTCTCCAAAGCAAGAACAAGATGCATTTCTTCCTTTAGGAGGTGCAATTGTCAGAAGAAAATAAAAAAGTTTCAGTTTTGTTTTTGCATGTGGGTGGGTATTCTGTTTGTAATAATTGTTTGGATACACTGTATTTTTAATATGCTAGTTGTGATAATTTCATGCCAACTAAAAATGTCCATAGTCATATTTTATGTTCCTAAAGTAACAGAATGACTTTCAAACTAGAAAAGACAAAAGAAATGCTAATGTAGCATTTTTTCAATTTTTCCAAAAATTTCCGTTTCCCCCTGAAAAAAACCGGGGTTTTTCCAAGCGTCAAAATTTCCGGAAATTTTACATCTCTAGGCCCTGTTTGGAAAACTAATCTTTAGCGCAACAATTAGAAGCAATGGCTTTGAATAGTTTTCTTGTTCTGTTGACTCTTACAAACTAGAAAGTTGCTGATGGGGGATTGCAGCATGGCATATGTTTGTCTTGTGGTAAATACTGGCTGGTCATGCTTATTCTGTTATTAAATGCCTGACTGATTTTTTAACTACTTCGTGAGATCTTTCCAGTCTTAAAATTTTTAGGGGTATGAGTACGAAGGAGACAAAAAAAAGTGGCGGTGATGCCATAATAATGGAAGGGTTTAGATAGGCTTTAAAATTGAAATGTACCACATTTGAGCCACTGATCAAGAAATGTTGATGGGGGGAGAGTGCCCCCTGACCCTATCAAAAGTCTCTCGTTTTGAGAACCGGCTGTGCAACCCTGTGCAGATTAAACATTCGGCCATTGGGAAGCCATTCGGGGAGCATTTTTACTGGGTCTTTCAGGGAAAAGAAACCTCTTGGAAAATTTGAAACACATGGCAGTGCGATACGATGTGTGAACTTTGTTTACTGGAACAACATAAAATGTACCATTATATACGACTTGGTGTACTTAATGGAATTTAAAAGCAAGCTTAGTTGCGTCTGTACATGGTATTAGAGAGAGCTGCGAACTGCTGCGTGATTTGCAAACTTTTGCCAGTGGGTGAGTAGGAAAAATAAAAGCTGAAATTATATAATTTTGGAGTAAACAAGTGTGTATTGTTTAGAAACTGTCTTAAGATAGGGCTGCTAGAATATTTGAATGTCAAGTTAAACTTTATAACATAGAAAAACATTGAACTCTTTAATAATGTAGTATCAGACACATGGCATATTTTTACCAAAATTATTCGCATTGAGGCAATAAACAGATAATTGAAAATATGTTCATAGAATCATAGAAGAGTGGGAAGGGGCCATACAGACCATCTAGTCTAGCCCCCTGCCCAATGCAAGACCAGCCTAAAGCATCTCTGACAAATATTCGTCCAGCTTTCTTGAAAGCTGTCAGTGAAGGGGAGCTAACCACCTCTCTAGGCAGTGAATTCCACCTTTGAACCACTCTGACCGTGAAAAAGTTTTTCCTAATATCCAGCCGATACCCTTTCTGCATGTCATTTAAACCCGTTACTTTGGGTCCTCTCCTCTGCTGCCAACTGGAACAGCTCCTTGCCCTCCTCCAAATGACAGCCTTTCACATATTTAAAGGGAGCAATAGACATGATAACATTATCAAAGTCTGTAGATAGTTACATAAAATTTTGAGTGAGTGAAATGGCATGTGTATAAAATAAGAACAATTATTTACTGTCTGAATAACTTCTATGCAGTTGCTATTAAAAACCAGGCATCTTTAGAAGACAAACTAAAAAATTTAAATATATAGGGGAAAACCTGATTTTAATAAAACGTTCTAATAGAAAATGCGCACATCAATTCAAAGCTTTGGTATTTCTGATAATATACAAATATAATGAACAATAACCGAGTTGCTCTGTTTGGTGTAGTGGTTAAGTGCGCGGACTCTAATCTGGGAGAACCGGGTTTGATTCCCCACTCCTCCACTTGAACCTGGCTGGGTGACCTTGGGCAAGCCATAGTTCTGATAAGAGCTGTTCTTGAAAAAGAGCAGTTTCTGTCAAGAGCTCTCTCAGCCCCACCTGCCTCACAGGGAGTGTCTGTTGTGGGGAGGGGAAGGGAAAGGAGTTTGTAAGCCACTCTGAGACACCTTTGGGTAGTGAAGGGCGGGGTATAAATCCAATCTCTTCTTCTTCTTCAGGAGCAGTTAGTGTGTCCAGTCTAGGAAAACGCTTAAGCAAAACAGAGAACATGGACCCTTCCTAAAGCTCCTTTTATGTTTTTGGTTCTCCCTAACTAGGCTGAGGAGGCAGACTCAACAAGAGGTTAGCTCGAGGTGCCAAATGTTGTCTGTACCAAAGCCTCAAGGAACAATTTCCAGTGCCCCAAAAAAGGTTGAGCCCAAAATGCAAATATATTTCGGTTCACATTTAAAAAAAAAAAAAAGCAGCAAAAGTGGGTGTCACTTCACCAGAGTCGGTAGGAGTGCGGCTGAGAGAATGTGAGGAGGAAAAACTTCCGAGTGAGGACAGGGGTGAAGCAGATGAGAGTTCTACTTCGAACAATGGTTAGGTTGAAACAAGGAAATGGAAAGAAAGCTTAGGTAGGTAAGGTGATGCAATGTGATACTCATCACTCTGAAATCTAGGACAAATGCCCAGTCATTTGTCTTCCCTGCAAAGAATGACAAATCTTGGGTTGAAAAGAAGCAACTCATTGGGTGTTGCCAGGACCGTATGTGGATTCCTGTGAACATCACAGGCTTCCACAAGAACTTGACGGTGAACTGCGCATGCATGTCTTTGGTTCCCGCCAGCTGTTCTGCTGGTGAAAAGGAGGGGGGCACCCCCGTTGACCACCAAAAAGGGACATGCAGGGGATCCTGGGATCCGCACGTGCCGAAGCCACGTGGGTCGGGGGGTTGTGATAAGGTGAAGAAATGAATGAGATTGACTGAAAAAGCCTGGCTGGATTCTCGACCCATTGTGAAGTTTAATATGGGCGCTTTCCTTCTAGATGTTTAACTGTATTTGTTAGTTGTTCACATTTCGTTAGCTTCAAGTCACTTGCCAAAATACTTTCTTCTACAGTTTCTATGAATATGGCGTTAATATTGACATCCATGAAACTTTAACCATTCAAGTACTTTAACGCAGGAAGAACTTTTTTTATTTGTTCCTTTAGAGAAATAATTGCTGAAGACATAGCTAAATTCTTGCCATTACAAAATCGCTCCCTGATTCTTATGTTTTAGAACACAAGAATGCGTTTAATCTATCTGCAGCATGTTGCTTTATTATTTTGATAGGATATATCAATCCAGTATTTATTTATTACTTATTTATTACATTATATTTCTATACCGCTCCTTCCCGGAGGCTTGGAGCGGTTTACACATATACATTTAATCGCCTAACTAGGGCCACATACACATCAGGGGAGATGGATGCCTTACCAGGCACCTTCACAGCGTAGGTCTTGCTAGGAACAGGCGGTAGCGTCCTTTGGCGGAAGTCTTTTTCCATCTCTTCGGCTCGGCTTCCTGGGATGGTCCTTTTATGGCACGCGGCTGCACGATGAGGTCACAACTGGTCTCTGTCCTGGAGGCTCCGACTGTGCTTACGTCACCAAGCCTCCACGCCGCCTCCAATTGCCTCCCGAGTCGCCTGCCATCTGCCGCCGATCCATCGCCATGTTCTCTCTTGCCGGTTCGCCGCTCATCGATTCACCGCATCGTCCAGCCGCCGCCGCTGCCCTCCAGTATTGGAGGTAGGGTGCCCCCCCACTCTTAAGGAGTGGGTACCCATTTGTCTAATTGCCGTTAAGGGCTTTCGAGCCGCTGGGTGGGCGGGAGCTAGGATAAGGGCCGGGAGCTCACCCCGGCCGCGGTGGGACTCGAACAGCTATTAAGGCTGTTCGGATAGTTTTACTTGCAGGCATTTACTGCCTGCGCCACCGCTCCCTGCAAAACTAGTTTCAAATACACTCGAGTTCAAATATCAGCTAAACTAGAAAATACCTAATGAAACATTAGCTACTGTGGAGCTATCCTGAAATGAAATTTCATAGAAGGTTGATTCATCTGTAGCAGTTAATTTCATTGCGAATGAAAAAATTATTTGTTGAGGAAATTATAGATAATTAGAGAAGGGAAAAGGTTATCTCTTGAGCCCCTAGTTAATAGCGCTGGAATAGTTAGAAGAAAAAATCTGAGACATATTGATGAGATGTTGGAATGACAGTTCAGATTCAAACTGTGGCTTCCTGCAAGTTACCAGTCTGGACCACGGACCTATGAAATAGACAGCTAGAGTAAAACCAAGTAAAGGATGTCAGATGTAAGCATTTCCCTAAGAGCCAGTTTAGTATAGTAGTTAAAATGTCAGACTAGGAGCTGGGAGATCGAGGCCCCATTCTGCCATGGAAGCTTGCTGGGCGGCTTTGAGCCATTCACGGGCTCAGTCACTCTAACCAACCTCTCGGGTGTCAGCTATGCTGCCATGGGGGTTGGGATGTTTTTCAGTGTCTGTGTAAATTGCTTTCGCATTCCTCTCTCTGCTTTGCGCTGAAATGCTTATCTCTAAAGAAGTACAGGTGTGGGGGTCTGCCTTCCAGGCCAGGCGTAGCTTCGCATAGTAACGCTCGCTGGCTCTAGCCCGCGCGCGGGAGGGTGCCTAATTGGCCAGCGCAGGGGGGGGGTGCATACGAATGCCCTATATCTCATTAGGTTCAAGAGGCGACCGCTATTCTTAACAGTGAGTGTATTAATGCATCTATGGCTCTTCAATAAAAGTATAGCCTTTCCAAGAAGTGTGTGCTCCGTTGTTGGCTGTGGGTTCTGACACAGGGTCATTATTGTAAGGATAAAGCGGGGGAGGAGGGGACAACGGGCGCAAGCTGGTTAGGGTCCCCATCGCGTTGACAGGCAGCGTTATCTCGCATGGGAGGCCTTATAATAATCCATATTCAGATCTTATTGTCCTTGTGGCCAGGATAAAATTGATACTTTACTGCAAAAAATAACTGCTTTTAGGAATCACAGCATTTTACCTATTTTAATCATGGTTATTGTTTAATAATTTCCAAAGGGATGCTATTCCCTGTCTGATCTGAATATAATCTTATCAGTTGCTAAATTCCTGTCTGTTATATTTTCCTTTAGAAACTAATTTAGTACTTTTCTAGTAATTGCTCAAGATCCATTGATCAGAGGAGTTCTGGAAAGGAAGGAAAGGCAGGGTATAAATGAAGCAAAGAAATAAGAGGTAGTGGTGTTATTTTCACTTCTATTTTATGTTCCTTATCAGCAAATAACTACCAAACATCCCGAGGAACTTTCTTAATACAGTTTTCGTAAGCAAGATGGGTTAAGTGCTGTTTCCTGTTCTCATTTTATCAAGCTTAATTCTGTACTGGCCGATTCTGCTTTTGGAGCATACTCTGTTAAATCTGAGGATTTCCATGTTGATAAAGAGCTTTGCAAGCACTTAAAGTGGCATGGTTTATTTGTAGCCTGGCTCTTCCTCTCATAGATCCATAAGACTAACACCAATAAAATCCATATAGTATAGGACTGAAATATCCCAACAAAAGTATCTTTGGAAGACCAATAAAAGAGCTGGCAGAATGCAGAGATCTTTACCTGTTTTTGAAAAACTAGAAAGGAGCTATTTCCCCATTGCTGGTTATGGGAAAGCATTCCACAACCGGGAAATAATTTCAGCAAGAGAAGGCAATTGGAACAAGGTCACGCTGGCAGATCTCTGTGCCCCCAAGGGTGGATCATAAGGGAAGAGGGGTTCATTAATGTTCCATCATCTCAAGCCTTATAAAGTGTTAACAGTCAACCCCTGTAGCTTGAATTCTGCCTGGAAACAAACCAGCAGCTGCAGTTCTTTCAGGGCAGGCATAACTAACTGCGGATTTCCAAAGTGTTTTCAAAAGAAGCCTACTATAGTGCACAGCTCGGATTATGGGACAGAGAGCATTCCATGACCCTGAAGTCCTGGATAGGAGTATCCCAGTGCTGTCTGAACACTGGCACCAGCTGTACTTCAGAGATTATTTTTAAAGGGTTTTGCAGCTTTATTTGTAAAAAAATTAATTATTTAAAGATTAGATTGTACAATTCAATGTTTAATAGTTTTAGGATTAAAAATAATCACTCAGCGTGGGTGTGTCAAAAATAAAAGTCAATGTTTGCCGGTGTGTTTCTTTAAAAGAAGCATGTTTATCTTTCAATTAGGAGGAGATGGATGGACACATTGGAGTGCTGCCTTTAGAACATGATGAATCCATTGTGCGAGGCAATCCAGAAGAAGAATGTTCAGTTGACGGCACAAAGCGAAAGCAGGCAAGCCTTTTCCCTTGGCTTTTGTTCCGGGTCCATTTAGCAGGAACTTCATGGATTGTGGAGCTTGGCAGTCACCTTAGTGCAGCTCTTTGAAAGCTCTCTAATTAGATTTACAGCCGATGGTGTTGTCATCTTGTTGCAGAACATGGAGTTTTGCGGAGGTTACTCCACTTGATCCAGTGGTCCGTGAGTACCACTCCCCTAGCCGAACAGATGTTTCACCTCCCCTTCTGCCACCACAGATGCAGCAGAGCAGAGTAGGAAGGGGAATACAGCAAAATGTTGTAGCGCTCTCCCTCGCCCCACGCATTTTTCCACAGGTGTTCCTGTTGATGTGTGATTAGGCATTAATTTCAAATATACCTTAGGTAGAGAATTCATCATTTTCTGGGATGATAAAGTTTTTAATGACATAATATGTCTGGAAATGTAGAAGCCGTGGAAATCTTTTGGAGAAATTAAATGGAACAATATGGGCAATACTTTCTCATCTTAAAATCATTTTGCTGCTCTAGCAACATAAACAGTACTTTGCATATGTATGAAATTTAGAAGTAGAATGCCTGAAATTTGTCCTTCAAACAAAATTGTGAATATATCTAATGCTAGAGTGTGACAGCTGCCAACTACTGCACCCTGTGCCACCTTAACCACATGAATGTTACTTTTTCCCACCTGAGAGGTAGGAAAAATAAGAACTGGGAAAATGGGAAACACGAATCATGCAGTGAGTGAATGAATGAGAGTGTTTGAGCAGAGCCAGGTCTCACAGGATGGTGATAGATTTACAGTTAAAGTTTATAATGTTGAAAATATTCAAGAGCTTAGTATAATATATTGATTTATAAATGAAATTAGTCTTTTTTAAAACTAGTAGACATTTTTGAAATATGTTGTTTTATGTCTACAGTAGACACAGGAATTAGCATTAGCTAATACTGTAATACAAATTTTTTAATGTAAATCTATTTACATATTCTGGGTGAGTGAGAACCTTGTCTTAAGCAGTTAATTCATTTTCAATATTTTGTTACAGCTTTTTAGTGGTCTCTCAAATTTAAAAGCTTTCTATATTTTCTTTAGCTGAGTTTATGTCAAAGATACAGATACATCCTCAGGTAGCCTTTGAGGTTTGTAGTATGAGAGGAGATGAGCCACGTAACTTTAATTAAGAACATCTGTGTTAAGATTCCAGTCCTCTGTACCGCTCTCTTAAAATGAGTATGAAATGAAATCGTCCAGGTTAAATTATTCATTTCCATTTTGTCCCCAAGCGCCCTTGGGCTTGGATCCTAAGCCTTGCTTCTGTGGTAGAGGTGGCCCTTTGCCGCATGGAGGTTTCATGTGGTGTTTTTTGGCTCATTGAAAGATGCTGTCTTGGATCCAACAGAGCATTTCCTTGGGTGGAAGGAATTCTTCCTGTGGAGCTGCATTTTGGGGGGCATCTTGGGCTGCAGCCGGAGGGGGAGGGGAACGTGAAAGTCGTGCTCCACCGGTGGTATTCTTTCTACCCATGGAAACATTCTTTTGGGTCCAGGCTATTGGTCTTGCATGAGCAGAAGCTCCTACCACTGGAGGAAAATGCCCTTCAGCGGAGGACTGCCCCCACAGCAGCAAATGGCTCAGCAGATGCAAGGCTTGGTGTCCAACCAAAGAAGGTTTTTAGACATTCCAAATGCCAAAACCAGTTCTAAGTGGTGATTTATTTTTTTACAAAAATAGACCACGGAGATGGGGGAATCAAGACTGCCTGAAGATGAGACTCAGCCTTCAGTGGATTTAGATGAAGCTTCTTCTAGCATAGCTGCTGTCCCTGAGAAGACTCCTAGTCCGCCTACCTCAGAGATCTTGCCCGTCTCTCAGCCTAGGTAAGTATTTCAGTTCAGTTATCCTGTGATTCTGAATACGATGCCTTTTGTTGTGTCTGTTCTAAAGGCACAGTGGAAGCAGTGTGGACTGCTGCACAACATGTCTCGAGTTCTTTGTACACTCTGTGTACAAATCCAACTTGGAGATAATTGGGATTGGTTATCACTTGCAGCTGATGTCATATGGGAGCTGGCAAACTGCATTTATTTGAAGGTCACTGAATTAACAATAATGCTACTGCTATACAGTACTGTCGCACTTGGGGTTGGTGCCAGTAGAGCATTTTCCACAGGGATCAGTAGATTTCTCTTGGGGACCACAAGGCCTCAGAACAGAGAAAGGAGAGGGTTTTCTTCACCTTGTTCTTCGTCTTCTGCACAAACTCCCTGATGCAGCCAGGGAGGAAGGCCTGTTCTGCTCCTACTCAACCTCTGCTTGTTGCACTTCATGAATCTCATAGTCACCCTGAATTCTATATATATTTGTTCTTAATCTTGAACTGTATATTTTGCTTGTTCCTATTTTGTACTATGTCTGTGTATGCCAATAAAAAGTCTGACTGACTGACGGACAAATCTCATTGGAGTTCAGAAATAATAGAGGCTGTCTTTGTAGTCCTCTTCTGCTTCGTCCTGCCCTTATGGTTCAAAGGGATGGGGCCACTGCTGCCAACTTGGAACATCAGTTGGCACCTCCCTGGATTGAGTGCAAGCCAGCCAACTGGCATTATCCAAGCCCTGGGTGGTTCTGGTTCTCTGGAAGCTCTGGTTGATGAGTTAGGTCCAAGGGCAAGCAGCAGCCAGATGTGGGGGAAGGGAGGGATCATGTCAGCCCCTGCATCACACTTGTGCTTGGTGGGACACAACCTCTTTGTCAAGGAGTCGGATTGAGGTGACGAGAGAGGAGGTCCTAAGACTGATAGACAACTTGAAAACTGATAAATCACCTGGCCCAGATGGCATACATCCGAGAGTTCTGAAAGAACTCAAATGTGAACTTCTGGATCTCCTGACAAAAATATGTAATTCTTCCTTAAAATCTGCCTCCCTTCCTGAGGACTGGAAGGTAGCTAATGTCGCTCCCATCTTTAAAAAGGGTTCCAGAGGAGATCCGGGAAATTACAGGCCAGTCAGTCTGACGTCACTATCGGGTAAATTGGTGGAAACCATTATTAAGGAAAGGATTAGTAGGCACATAGATGAACAAAACCTATTGAGGCAGACTCAGCATGGGTTCTGTAAGGGAAGATCTTGTCTCACTAACCTGTTAGTGTTCTTTGAGGGGGTGAACAAAGATGTGGACAAGGGGGATCCAATAGATATTGTTTACCTTGACTTCCAGAAAGCTTTTGATAAAGTTCCTCATCAAAGGCTCCTAAGTAAGCTCACAAATCATGGGATAAAAGGACAAGTCCTTTTATAGATCAAAAACTGGCTAATTAATAGAAAACAGAGAGTGAGTATAAATGGGCAGTTCTCTCAGTGGAGGGGGGTAAGCAGTGGGGTACCGCAGGGATCAGTACTTGGTCCACTGCTTTTTAACTTGTTCATTAATGATTTGGAGTTGGGAGTAAGCAGTGAAGTGGCTAAATTTGCGGATGACACAAAGTTGTTCAGGGTGGTGAAAACCAGTGAGGATTGTGAGGCACTCCAAAGGGATCTGTCAAAGATGGGCAAGTGGGCGTCAACATGGCAAATGGGGTTCAATGTGGCCAAGTGCAAGGTGATGCACATTGGAGCCAAAAATCCTAAATATAAATACACATTGATGGGGTCTGAACTGGCAGAGACTGATCAAGAGAGAGATCTTGGAGTTGTAGTAGATAACTCACTGAAAATGTCGAGACAGTGTGTGACTGCAATAAAGAAGGCCAATGCTATGCTGGGGATTATTAGGAAGGGTATTGTAAACAGATCAGCCAATATCATAATGCCCCTATATAAATCAATGGTGAGACCTCATTTGGAATACTGTGTGCAGTTCTGGGCACCACACCTTAAAAAGGATATTATAGCTTTGGAAAAAGTGCAGAAAAGGGCAACTCGAATGATAAAAGGGTTGGAACACTTTCCCTATGAGGAAAGGTTAAGGCGCTTAGGGCTCTTTAGCTTGGAGAAACGACGACTGAGGGGTGACATGATTGAGGTTTATAAGATTATGCATCTGCCACAGGAGGTGGTGGCGGCTACAAGCATGGACAGCCTCAAGGGGGAATTAGATAAACATATGAAGCAGCAGTCCATCAGTGGCTATTAGCCACAAGTTAGGAACTCTCAGGCTGGGGCAAGTGATGCTCTGTATTCTTGGTGCTTGGGGGGGGGGTCAACAGTGGGAGGGCTTCTAATGTCCTGGCCCCACTGCTGGGCCTCCTGGTGGCACCTGGTCTTTTTGGCCACTGTGTGACACAGAAGAGTGTTGGACTGGATGGGCCATGGGCCTGATCCAACACTGACCTCTCTCATGTTCTTAACAATGACACAGAAAGTAGACAAGCTTGGAAGTTCTCCAGAACTCTTCATTGGGCTATTTTCCGAGAAGAGAGGAGGAGATGATGGTAAGACCTGCTGCTGTGTCTTGAGGAGCTAAAGTAAAGGTTGGAGAGCCACCATACTGTGCGGGCCCCGCAGTGGGCAGGGCAGGGGAAGCCGCCAGGAAAGCAGCCCTTGGCCAGGTCTTCCCTGAGCGGTGGGGTCCAGGTGAGCCCAATTTGTCAGGGCTTGGAGCCCAAGCAGGGCTGGCCCCGGACTTAGGGGTTGCCAGCCCCCCCCCCCAGCAGCACCTCTATTCCCCGGGGGCGCTCTCCTGCCTGCCTGCCAGCCCCTGCTCCTGCTGCCGCCGCGTCCTCCGCCGCCGCCTCTTCAGGCTGCCGAGGGGGGAGGAGGAAGCGCACGACTGACCAACCAGCGGGGGCAGCGCTCTCCTGCCTGCCTGCTCGGAGGTCTCCAGGCCCCACCGGGAGGTTGGCATCCGAGGGGGGCGCCACGAGGCAGCCTCGCCTAGGGTGCACAACCACATCGGGCCGGCCCTGGCCACAAGGTATAGATAGGGGCTCTGGGGCAAGTGATGCTCTGTCTTCTTGGTGCTTGGGGGGGGGGGTCAACAGTGGGAGGGCTTCTAATGTCCTGGCCCCACTGGTGGACCTCCTGATGGCACCTGGTATTTCTGGCCACTGTGTGACGCAGAAGAGTGTTGGAGTGGAGGGGCCTTTGGCCTGATCCAACATTGGCATCTCTTATGTTCTGAAATGCTAGAACTCGAGGGTATCCAATGAAACCGATGGGCAGTAGGTTCAGGACAGAAAAAAGTAAATACTACTTTACACAGAGAGTGACTAAAATGTGGAATTTGCTGCAGAGGATGTAGTGATGGCCACAAGAATAAACAGCTTTAAAAGGGGATTAGATAGATGGTGGATAAGTCTGTCAATGGGTTCTAGCCATGGCGACTGAGGGGAACCTCCACACAGTGGTCTCATGAGATCTTGATTGCCGTTATGCAGAAAGGTTTGTTTACTCGTTGTGCGCACACTGCTTTTTTTTTGGGTGGCTTACCCCATAATTGTGTATTTTTAAAGCTTGGGGGTCCCCCCCCCCAACCTGGACATTTCTCCATTTTCAGGAAAAACGGGTGGACCACCCTTGCAGATTTGGTTCCTCAGCCGGGGGCACCTGTTTGGAAGCATTTGATACTTGTGCCTTTTACCAAACAAAAATAGTTGAAGTCACCCTTGCAGAGCTCCAGGATGGGTGTGGTGTCTCTTGACTAGGTGTTCAGAGGGGGTGAAGACATGTTGTTTGTTTCCTTTCAGTGCAATAGAAAATTCCAGTGCTGATAATCCCGTAGTCAGCTCTGCTGAAGCTGAACAGGCAGAACCTGACTGTGATGTTGGTGGGGCACTTGAGGCCGACGCTCCGAGGGAGCCTTCCTCTCTTGTGGCTTCGCCAGAGAGGTGAGTATTGGAATAGCTAAGGGGGGGCAGCTCACTGTGTTTGCTTTTCGAACCTTGTGACAGCCAGAGTTGTGTTCCTTGGTTTATGTGTCCAGGTCTTCATTTGTCATCTAAGGATATTTCAGGCTGTTTGTTGAGAAGAGCTTTTCATGTTTTCAGCCTTGTAGGTCAACACATAGAAAACATCTCCTCACGCACCAAGGGGAAAATGACTAAGTCCGAATTTGAACCGAAGCTTGCTGCTGAGCAGAAGACAGATCCAAAGTCGGCACTGAACGCTTCGGGTAACTTGAGAGGGGATGTAAGTACTGTCATCCAAAGCCTTCGGCTTGCACAGGAATTTTAACAGGATGTTGCCTGTTAACAGTAAAATGCCATGTCCCCTTTGCTGATAACTGCCAGATCAAACCCATTGTTTACTTCAGAACTGCCTAATAAAAGATGCTATATGGCTTTCAGTTTTTGGATTCTTCTTTGAACCACCATGGCTATCCACAGTTCCATTCAGCAGAGAGACGAATGCATTACATCTGTCATAGCTCCCTTTCAGTTGCGTTATTCCAATTTTAAAAAAAACCCACTGGCAGATGATGCTGGTATTTGAAATGCAGGATACCTTCATACTGGCTTGGAAACTTGACATTCCCTTTCATGTTTGTTCTTCTAAACTGTAGTAATGCAGAAAAATCAGTGGCATTTCATACAGTAAATCATTTGATATTGATCTTACCAGTTTTCAAATTTGTGAGATTGTTCGTCATTAGATTATCACCCTTTTGGTAGACTGTTAAGAAATTATATGTCTATTACGGATGTTTTGATTTCTTGTGTTGCATGTTTAGTAGGGGTGTGCAATTCCCCCCCACCCCAATTTTCTTTTCAGTTCAGGTATATTGAACTGAAAAAACATTCAGGTTTCCCAAAAAATCCCAGATCCGATTTTCTGGAACTCCCAAATGTTGGGGGGTCCAATTGACCTGAGAAGAAAAAAACTGGGTGGGGGGATTGCTCACCAGAAGCTATGCCTGCAGGGGGCAGTCTGCTGCCTGCGGAGCACATCTGTTCCTGGGCTGACTTCTCTTGCAGCCTGCTTTAAACCAGGCTGCAGGAGAAACCAAGCCAAGGTGGAGGGGAGCTCTTAGCTCCTGCCACCATGGCTATTCCTGGGCTGACTTCTCTTGCCGCTTGGTTTAAAACGAGCTGCAAGAGGAGCCAGCCCCAGCCAAGGCAGCAATGGGGAGCTCTTAGCTCATACTATGCCAGCTGATCCTCTGTTGAAGAGGAGCCAGCCCCAGCCAAGGCTGATACTGGGCTGACTTCTCTTGCAGCCTGGTTTAAACCGGGCTGCAGGAGAAGCCAGTCAGTCGTAAGCTGAGCACGCAGGGGCTGTCTTCTACAGCCTCTTTAAAGTTTAAAGGGATTGTAGAAGCCCAACAAACAGCTGAGAGGTGGGACTGATTTGCTCCTGCCTCTTGCTGTTGTCAGATCTACTGGTAATTCCTGAATATATCCAGGATTTTCTCGGGATTTTTCTCCTGGTTTTCCCAAGAAAACCTGGCTACATTTGTCATGCTGAAATATGCCCCCAAAATACTGATATTTTTCGCTTGGGTAGATCCGAATACACACCCCTAGTGTTTAGTCAACAGAAATAGATAACCTTCAAATTATTTAAAGTCAGGTATGTTTGCATTCTACTTTATACAACACAATGCTCCAACAGAATTGGCAACCTACAATTAAACCTACGTTTGATATGCTACATGAGCCCTTAAGGCTCATTGTGAACAGAATACTGCACAATTCGCTGCTTTTGATACTGGTACATACTATCTCTATCTTCAGTTAATATCTAAAGTAATGATCCCTGCCCTTTTGCCTTCTTGTGCAGACCAAAGTGGGAGAAATTGACCCAACTTCTGTGATAACTCCAAAGGACCCAGGAGATATTCCCACATTTGATGAATGGAAGAAGCAGGTTATGGAAGTAGAAAAAGAAAAAAGTGAGGTCACTTAATCTTTTCAGATAAACTTTGAACAGATTTTTTTCTTGGTCTTTTACTCATTTAATGTCCTCGTGTGTTCTGACTTCAGTAAGGGTTCCATGAGTTTCCTGTAAAGGAAGGTGTTTGGGTTGGAGCCACACTCCTGAGAACCGAATCAGTGAGTCGGTGGATCTTTTCACCTTTGTCTGCCATGATCAGCTCCTTGCATTCCCTTCCCTCAAACTGTTGCGGGGAAGGGGGTGGGGGAACACTCACCAGTGTGGCACTGGGGGGCTGGGGGTGTAGCAAATCTTGTTTTCCTGATTCTTACATGAGCAAACGAATGGGAGAAAGGAAGGTGGGAGAGATCTACTGTCATGATCTCAGGCCATTCACAGGACTTGGATCCATCCCAGTGAGTTGATTGAGAGGTTGTGTGGATAAGTCTGGAGGATCCTTGAGTTCACATGCTCCTTTCTCTTGTGATCAGTTTGATTTTTAAACACTTCCAGTCTTACAACAAGCCAGTTTGTTTGTTCTGAACTATGGTTTGTTCTGTTCAGTCTCAACCAGTATTTCAAGCTAGATTTAAATCAGAGTCTGGAATCCTGGTTTGAAAGGAAAGAGCCATCGCTTGTAGTTCTGAGGTTACAACAGCACACATATTGAATCAAACCACAGGTCTGTCAAGGCCATTACTGTCTACTCAGACCTGCAGCGTCTCTTCAGGGTGTCAGGTGGAGCTCTTTAACATCACCTTCCTGATCTGTTTTTTAACTGGAGATACGAACAAAAAGAAAGGAGGGAGGAAGAAAAAAAAAGGGAGAAGAAAAGAAAAAAAGGGGGGGGGGTTAAGGGAAAAAAAGAAAACTCAACCCAAAAAGCTGCTATGAATCCACAAGGGTTAAGCTGACACTACATATAATAAACATACAAAATTTATTTAGGTGTACACATTTTAAAAAACTTAAAACTCATTTAAAATATTCACAATCAGACCTAAAAAACTTCTCAACATTCATACATAGATGGGTTAGTGCTGTGCAACTGAACCAAACGCGTTTCGGCCCAAAAGGCCTTCCTCAGTGGTCACAATCCAAAATACAAAGTTGACATACAGTCCAACAAATATTTACATAAGATGTTAAATATATATGCAGTATAAGGCCAGATGTTATGTCCTAGATAATAATTACCAAAAGAAAATAAGGGAAAAGGGGAAACAAGGAAAATGTCATTATAATTTCTCATGTATTTGTTTTTCTACTAATTGAAAACTAATATATATGAGGAATAAAAATTACCTTATATATTTATATGTATATTGTTGTTCTATAGGGTAGGCCTCAGGTATGGCCAATTAAAGTCCACTAATAATTCCAAATCTAAAAGGGAATGAAATAATTACATGAAATTGTATACTTCCAAAAGGAAGTTCTTTTTTTAATTATTTGAAAATCTGAATTGGCCTACTAACCTGGTAGCATAAACTTGCGTGAGTTGACTGTATGTCACTCCATCCTGTACAAATTCTGGTGTGGGCTAATGTACTGGCCACCATATATAGCATTGCTGAGGTGATGCAATCACAAGTTAACTGTGCATGTCACTCAGGAGAGATGCAAAATAAAAGGGGAGGGGCATTTGAGAAGAGCTATCATGGTGTGAGGATGAGAAAAAGATTTTATACTGATAGCTACTCATAACATTCATAAACAACCCATACAGATAATGTACAAAGAACAGGTCCAGATAATCACAAGCAGCAAGTCCAGTCCACTTCCTCGTTAAGACCATATGGTACCCATGTTTTTAACTTGCTAATCCAAAACAATTCTCTTCTCAGGAGTATTCTGTGTAAATTCTGGCCTGAAGTCTTCACAGTTTCTATAATCCAAAATTTTAATTGATGGTATATTTTAAATGAGTTTTAAGTTTTTTAAAATGTGTACACCTAAATAAATTTTGTATGTTTATTATATGTAGTGTCAGCTTAACCCTTGTGGATTCATTTTAACTGGAGATGCCAGGGATCGACCCCCTGCGTTTACTGCATAAGCAATAATTTTCCTGCCTTCCCGTGTCCTGCTGCAGTCGTTTGTGTGTCCCACTACTGTACCCTGAAGGGCCAGTGAATCCTTAGGGTCAGCAAAAATCCCCATTCCCACTCTTCAGAAGCAGACGTGCTTCCTGCCTGTGGAACGGGTGCTTAAGATCAAAGCCATTCATTTGCTGTATGCAGGTGTTTTATGGGCGAGCTGTGAAGGAGGAGGGAGTATATCAGCCTGAGAATTTCCCCGTGCCTGTTCACGTAACAAGGTTTGTCTCCATTCCAAATAGGTCTTTGAGACAAGTTTAGGTCTAAAGTGGGCACGTGGGGCTCCCTTGGCCAATTTGGAGCCTGGGACTACAAGGAGATGTTTCCACCAGTTTCTAAAAGGTGACCGTAAACGTGAGGGACCCATAATTAGGATTCCCAATAAAAGGGTTCTTTTTACTCAGTGTGGCTTGCCTTGTTTTAAGTTGAAATATGCAGCAGGATCACAGTGCACATGAATGCAGACAAGAAAACCACCGTGATAAATGGCTGCTAAACTGTATAAAATATTGCATATTTAATAGATTTGAATGCTATGTGAACATGTTCTAATAATCATCAAGTACCACTTGCACAAAACTCTATCCCACAACAAAAGTGAACCTGTAATTCTAATATGTTCCTACTTGTACCAAGCCTGAACATCGAATGAAGTCCACCTTAAAGTAATCTGAAAGGAACAGAAGCCTTCCAGTTCTGATGCTGCTTACCTCCTGCATAAACATTATGACCTGGAAAATTAATTCCAGACAGCTCCATGGAAGAAATAGTATTAAAATCTTTTTGGGAGTTGACCGTCTTCTGAGGAAGATTTTTTGAGAAATGAGTTGGAACCTAGGTTTGTTTGCTCACTCGCTGGTGCGTGGACGGCACCATTCAGTTTTCAGGTTTATTTTAGTTGAAGCATGCAGCTTGCTTTATCTAAATTGCTTTCAATTGGAAAGCAGGGTTGTGTATGGGCTTGGTAAATACTGTGTTTTCTTTTGTATGCAGGTCAGGCAATGCATCCATCCTCCAATGGAGGTCAACATCCTACAAAAAAGGTCCAGAAAAACAGAAATAACTATGCTTCTGTGGAGTGTGGGGCCAAAATACTGGCAGCTAATCCAGAAGCAAAGGTAATCACATTATTTCAAAACCACTCTGGAACACTGCCTGATTTTTCTGATAAGTATTAGATTTCTTGCAATAACTTGTTGCTGTGTTGACCTTTTGGGAGCATACCAGTGTTCTGTTAGTTACATTCTTTGTTTTAAACAGCCTTCACTGAAAGCTGGTATGCAAATACTCTGTTTCTTAGATTTTCTCTGTTACGAGATTTCTAAAAGCAGCACAAAGGTTTTAAGAAAAGGAAGATACTCTCTGTGCATAACTCTTAATGACACAAAATGTGCTTTTCACTCTTTACATAGAGTACGTCAGCTATACTAATGGAGAATATGGACCTCTACATGCTGAATCCATGCAGTACTAAAATATGGTAAGTTTAAACACCTCTGGACTGGAATGAGGGTGGGCTATAAATACGTATGGCATCTGACTTCATGTGGATAATAGTTAATGAAAGCGATTGAACTTTGCCATTTTAAAACGTAGTTTCCACGATGAGGATGTAGTGCAAAAGAGATAGCAGTAATTGGAAATTGCCCCCTGCCTTTACACCGATTTTTACTACTGTCTTGAAGGTTTGTTGTGGAGCTGTGTGAGCCAATTCAGGTGAAGCAGCTGGACATTGCCAACCATGAATTATTCTCGTCCACTCCCAAGGACTTTTTGGTGTCTATCAGTGACAGGTATGGTACTTATCTGAGTTTGGTTCGTCTTCACGAAGACTAGAAAAAAAGCAGCTCTTCTGTTGCAGTGTTTTCATCGCTTCCCTGCCCTGTGCAGGCAAATCCAGTGTCCTGCTTTAGTGTCATACAATATATTGCAGCATGTTAAGAAATTTCTGAATTTGGATTGGACTCACAAAGGCCAGAGAATTTCTTCTATTATAGTGGCTTCATAGCTTCCCTGCCCTGTACCAGCATATCCAGTACGCTGCTTTAGTGTCATACAATATAGTGCAGCATGTTAAGAAATGTCTTATTTAATATATCAGTCTGAGGTACACTTTTCTTAGCCAGAAACATGTAGTATTTGGCTTTAGAATTCATCTCATCAAAATTGCTGATTTCAAAGTAGGGTGGTTGAATCCAATGTAGAATTTGCGTGAGCCACAGGTACTTCAGGTTGTACAATTAATAAATCAGTTTCCACAGATTTTCTTCTTGAACTATAAGAACGGTTTTTTTAAGTGGCAAAGGGGCTACGGAAGGCCAAGGCTGGAAGGATCCATTTTCCAAAAAGTGATCGGATTTCTTTAGGTCCTAAATCCCCTTTCCTCATTAATCCGTTGAGGCCTAACTGATTTAAGCTTTGCCCATAGAGGACATTACATGGAGTGGGGTGCAGAGTTCCTCTGAACTAGTTGAGTCACTGTTCTCATTTTTCTTTACGCAATTGTGTTTTATTTTCTAGGTACCCAACAAACAAGTGGGTCAAGCTGGGCACTTTCCATGCTCGAGATGAAAGGAATGTCCAGAGTTTTCCTCTGGATGAACAGATGTATGCAAAATACGTAAAGGTAATTTCTGTTTGCCATGATCTGAACCTTAATGCCCAGAGTCACGATCCCTGGTGGGTTGCCTGGTAGTCTGCTGCAGCAAAGTATACGGGAGTCATTCAGTAGACCCTTAAGGACAAAGAAAAACTCCTACCAAACTCCCCCCCCCCAAAAAAAAATAATGTGTGATTCAGATGGTGCATGCGTGAGCGCAGTTTGAGAAATATTTCCCCTGAAAAGTCAAACTGTTTGGTATGCCGTATGCATAGTAGCATCAAGCATGTTATGTGTAGTAGCATCATGCTGCTTGAATAGTTTAGCTAAGATCGTGCTTTTTCTTTAGTACAAGGGTTTAAGAAACTGATGCACCATAGTGATTAATCTTCAGACAGTGTGTTGCATCTAACCAATGGTGAGTGACGGTCCCTTCACAGAATTAAACTTTTTGCTCGTCTGTCACTCTGCATTTCATGAAACCCTTTCCCCGATGTTTGGGGAAGCTGGGGAACAGTGTTGGGACACATCAGAGTCTGCAGTAGGGAGCGGGATTGTTCAACATTAGAGAAATAATATTAAAATTAAAAGGGGTAAAGTTCCAGGCCTCGATGGACTCATCACAAAGTATAAGCAGAAATTTTTTAAAACGATGCCATCATGTTTAATCCTGTATTCATTGCCTGAATGTGGGGTAAAGCTTGATTGTACTTATTCCAGAAGCAGGGTAAGACCTGTTGATACCAGAGTTCCTCTGTTAAACCATCTGAAATATTTACTAGTATTTTGGCACATCAAATAAGAAAGATATGTGTACATCTTAAATCAGCAAGCCTTGATACTTCTTGATGTAGAAAAGGTGTTTGATCATGTTGAGTAATTGTAGTAAATGTATTGCATACCGAGTCTTAAGGGGGACTTTGTGTGTTAGATTTAAAAAAAAGTACAGCAATCCCAGTGCTAAGATTGTTCTTAATTGGTGTAAATCTGAAGAGTTTAGTTTATGGAGAGGAAAGAGGCAAGGGTGTCCCCAGTATCATCTGTAAGGACTGTAGATAAGATCTTCAATGGCTATCCAGATCACTGAGATGTGCCCGCTAGGAAACTAGCTTTATATGCATTAACTGTGAGTCATCAGACACTTTAAATGAATTTTACATTCCAGTAATCAGTTTAGGTTTATAACAGGATGTAAAGTTGAATGTCCAAAAATTAAGAGTGGATTGGATTAAATGTGCCAGCAGAGAGAAGGAAACTTGGCTGAACAGTTTAGCATACCATGGAAGTCCATTCTTTGGTGGGTTATCCGTTTTTCACTGCCCTACTCGTTGCAGTGGGACCATGGGGTGAGGGTGGGGGGAGAACTGCAAGGTATCTTGCATGTGGATGAGGAATACATGCACAACGATTTGGAAATTCCACCTCGTCTCCCAATTATCTCCAGGTTCAGTCCTCATAAAGCTGTTTTTCCTTCTGGGGAATTTAGATTCATGTGTTTTCTGAATTCCTTTGAAGTCCCTTATGTAAGAGACCCTAACCGTTAATGTCTCTGGGTTCTGCTGTTTGCCATCTGCATAGGGGCCATCGACCTTACTATGTTATTTAGTAATAGAGAGGCAGTGTGGTATTGTGGCTGGAACAGGCCATCTGGGAGATCCAGGGATGAATCTTTACTTTGCCATGGAAGTTTAGATCAGTCACATACTCTTGGCCTGATCTACCTTACAGGGTTGTTGTGAGGATAAAATGGAGAGGGGGGGTAAGGACATGAGTCTCTTTGGGGAGAAAGGCAGGATATAAATGAAGTGAATATTTGCAAGAGGCTTGTTTTCTCGTCCCTCGTCCAGTTGTGTCTGCCTTGTTTCTTCAGCTTACGGTAGTGTTAGTGCAATCCCTGGACAGAGTCACACCATCTATATCTGTTGAAATCTGAGGGCTTAGAAAGGTGTCACTGTCAGATACTTAGATGATAGAAACAAATTCCTTCTTAGGTATTTGAAATGAATGCCGCTGGTTGGGGGATATGTTTTTTTCTAACTAATCCCTTTTGGTGCATAACTGCAAAGCATGTCAGTTCTTGATCCTGTACTGAGAAGTCATTTAGCTTTGCATGTTGCTGTAGGCTGTGATACGTATCTTTCTATTTTTCCAACTTTATCCTTTGTGACTTGGGTCGGGGATGGGGGGCGCATTTGACTTGGGAGGGGACACTGGGGAGCCAAAGGAGAGAAGGGCTATATTTATAGGCCTTAATTATGCAAGTAGGCAATACTGTAACTTGTGGCATGCATACAGTCTACTGACACTTTTTTCTTTTTTCCTCCCTTGCTTCAGATGTTCATCAAGTACATAAAGGTTAGCAATCTCTTAATAACATTGACTGCCTAGGGCTTGGGCACACTAATTGCAGCTGAGCACACTAATTCATGGCTCAAGAGTTAAGCCTTGCAAGAATCTTTTGTTCTGATCACAAGGGTTATGTAAATTCTAATTTAAGACTTGATTTTTTAAAAAAATACTTCGAACAGGAACTGTTCTGGTGCTTCCTGAGGTATTTTATTAAATGTTGTTTGTACTTTAGGTGGAGTTGGTGTCGCATTTTGGATCAGAACACTTCTGCCCTTTGAGCCTTATAAGGTAATCTGTGAAATGCTGAAACAAAGGTTGGTTAGTTCCTTGGAGATGCTCAAAATGTAGTCCTCTCGTGCTGAGCTAAAACTGCATTACAGGACTCTTGAAACTGGCAGTATTTATAATTTAATTATTTCAATAGCAGAAAACTTGACAATTTACTGGCTTTCTGTAGAAAATTGTGAACATAAAGCTTAATGTGGAAGTCTGGAAACGACAAACTTTTATAGGCAATTAAACCTTGAATTATTGAGAAATGGATTGGGGGGGGGGGCAGATTTTGACCAAAGATGTTAGTTTGCAGATTGCCCAGCCACACACTTTCAGCGAGTATTATTTGTGAAGCTATGATTTATCACATCTTTATGCAAAGTAATTAAAATTGTGGGGTTCCCCCCCCAGGGTGTTTGGCACTAGTATGGTTGAAGAATACGAAGAAATAGCTGACTCTCAGTACCAATCAGAAAGACAAGAGCTTTTTGATGAAGATTATGGTATGTAAACCAGTGAGACACTGATTAGTTGTTCTTGTCAAGAAGAGCTGCAGATTCTTTGGGATGGGTTTTTAATTTAAAGTAATGGGATAAGGCAGAATGCTGAGGTGGCGTGGCAGAGCGGAGGGGCCGGGGGGATGAAAGAGGGGAACCTGAGGAAAGTGTAGGGGGTGGGCGGGGGGGTGGGTTTGAAACTGCAGGGCCTGTGGTGTAGGGTGCGTGGTCAGGACTTGGTGGGTGGAATCCAGTGCAAAATTTACACTTGCGCTTAGAGCTCTTGCACAAATGGAAATGCAAGAGAATGGCCGCAGTAGCCGTTTGCACTAAGACTTAATGTATTCCCACTTGCATTTCTCCTTGAGCAAATGTGGAAGTGGTGGCGGCTACAAGCAGGGACGGCTTCAAAAGGGAATTAGATAAGCATATGGAGCAGAGCTGTCCATCAGTGGCTATTAGCCACAAGGTATAGGTAGGGGGCTCTGGGGCAAGTGATGCACTGTATTCTGGGTGCTTGGGGGGGGGCAACAGTGGGAGGGCTCCTAGTGTCCTGGCCCCACTGCTGGACCTCTTGATGGCACCTGGTATTTCTGGCCACTGTGTGACACAGAAGAGTGTTGGACTGGAGGGGCCTTTGGCCTGATCCAACATTGGCATCTCTTCTGTTCTTATGTGCAACCAGTTTCCAGGCATTAGAATACGTAGGGGAAGTGCTGGGTGTTGCCCAAAGTCTTGGGCAAGCAAAACTGTGCAGAGTTATGTTTCCTCCCTTGTGGACCTTGGGATCCAAGCTTATATTTATAGTTCTGCGCCTAGATCAAGATGGGATATTGGGCTCAGTGGTGAGGCCCAAGAGGCATC